TTTCACTACCAATAACAGAAGGTTCGTTAGCATCCCCAATTCCGCGCACTTTTTCATTCTGAAATCTATCACAAGATTAGGAAATTGCAGGTATTAAGCCTGTATATATGTATGCATATATATTTGTATATATATATATATATATATATATATATATATATATATATATCAAATCTGTTCCATACCTGCTACAGTTGGGTGTTGTGGAAAAGTGGTTAACCATGGAGCTGAACGATGGAAGTCTACCGAATCCACCTGAGGAACTCGGAATACCGATCAAGAAGAAATGCATACTCATGACTGTTTTGTGGTTATCATTTGTAATAACTCCGAACCCATGACTTGATAGCTATTAAGCTTTCTGTAAAAAAAAACAGGACAATTATCTGAATCTCAAACGAAATCCGCGCATGAGTTAAACGAAATGCTTACTTTACTTATGCAGTTCTTGCGTCGTAGAAAAAACGCTTGATGTGAAGCGCAAACTACAGTGCTAGAGCACAACGGAAGCCGTGGCTTAGAAACACAACTTTCACAATTGCTTGATTCAGCTTGGCAGCTAAGGCGACAAACTACTGGTAGCGGATTCCGTCGCTCGAACCCAACTGCTGGCCTTTCGACTGCTCCTTCCTAGGCTTGAACAAGCCCGCACGATTCCGGGTTACACAGCAACGAGTCGCTGAAAGGGTGCCATGGATGGATAAAAATCACGGACCGGTAAAAGTAGTCTCGTCAGCTGGATGTTTTTCAGCATATAGGGCACAGGAAGCCAACCTACCGGATGATTTTGATTTTTGTTCAATTTCATTGCGGAAAGTAGTCTGTAGCACTGCTGACACCAGTAATGTGTCCGCCAGAATCACGCCATAACCGCAGTTGTCACGCCGTCGCACCGTCGTTTGACTAGCCCTTATTGGTATGTTGTTCTGAACCCTCTGAAATAGTAAAAATAGTACTGGGGGAACTGGCAGCATTTTATCTGTAACTTCAGTATCCCTCTATTCGACCATCCTGGATCGCTCCGAAACCATTTAGACCCCTCAAACGGCTCGTCTGATAGCCGCCTCATATCCATCCAGATAGAACTCCAGATTCAGAGCCAAGGGCTACCTCGCAACAGTTCTCAAATTTTTGTGACCTATCAAGGTAGTTATGAACTCCTCGAGAGACGAATTCTACCTTAAAACCCTGATATCCATTTCATATACCTGCTTTTAATTTTTTGACTCCGAGGGACGAAACACAACAAGCCGCTCTAGCTCTTCACTGGTGAGCGCTCTGTCCGAAACGGGAGTTCAATACCCATTTAGCTGACATCAGGTTTTTGCTGGCAGTTGTGCACCCTGACAGTACTTATATCGATGCCACTGGCTACGCTGAGTCCGCTGTTACCATAATTCATGAGGCAGGATGTTCGGCTAACTGACTGTCCGTCGACAGTCAAGTCCGCATAGTTTGTTCGACGACATCCTAAAAAACAAGGTGATGACTCCTGCTCTTACATGTTATCCACTTCCGTTCCAACAAGCTTAGCAATGAGTGCTTTGGTACCGTAAGTCAAAAGCTCAGATGAAATTGTGAGTACCGGGCTGCAAGTGAGCAGACTTAGCACTGCTGAGACTCAGTTGGTTAGCCATCTTGGACCGGAGTAGACCGCGACCAAAGGTTCTTTTTTAACAGTTCTAACTTCTGAAACAACCACCCTGCATATATGCTGCCATCCACGTAGAAATCGGCCCAGAACCCGATCATAACACCGGTTGCGGGCAGTGTGTATCAACCGCCCAAAGCCGGTCGTCGTGA